TGCAACCTCTGCTTCCCAGGTTTAAGTGATTCTCATGCCCCCAGCCTGCTGAGTAGCTGAGATTATAGGCACATGCCACCATGCCCTGCTAATTTTTGTATTTTTAGTAAAGATGGGGTTTTACCGTGTTGGCCAAGCTTGTCTCAAACTCCTGGCCTCAGGTGGTGTGCCCGCCTTGGCTTCCCAAAGTACTGGGATGGATAACAGGTGTGAGACACCACGCGTGGCCTCTGGCCTCAAGCCCGCATTCTTTTTTTTTCTTTTTTAGATGGAGTTTCAATCTGTCATCCAGGCTGGAGTGCAAAGGCGCGATCTTGGCTCACTGCAAACTGCCTCCCGGGTTCAAGCAATTCTCCTGCCTCAGCCTCCTGAGTAGCTGGGATTACAGACATGAGCCACCACACCCAGCTAATTTTGTATTTTTAGTAGACACAGGGTTTCTCCATGTTGGTCAGGCTGGTCTCAAACTCCCGACCTCAGGTGATACGCCCGCATCAGCCTCCCAAAGTGCTGGGATTACAGGTGTGAGCCACTGCGCCTGTCCCAAAGATGCTGTTTATGTTTCACCCCCACAGTATTCCAGGCATAAAGCCTAGCAGCTTTCAATGATTTCAGGGAGAAGAAAAACATCTTTTTTCTTACACAAAGCATTTAGTGGGTTTAGCCCCTTTAGTGAAGAAGATAGGACATCACCTCTCACACTGCTGGCTCCCTGCAGCTCTGTATATTTCCCTCTTCCGTCTTTCTTCCTCTAAGTCTACTCACCCTTCCTTCCCAGGAGAGGCACAAATTGCTCATCTTCAGCAGAGAGATTTGGTGGTCCTCTTTTGGGGATTCCCCTTATACCTCAACTGTGTCATTACAATGACCATGGTATTTCCCGGTGGGCAATTCTAGCCCCGTGCTGTGACCACGGAGCCAGCCTGCTCCCTCTGTCCCTCAGCCACCCTCAGCACGGTGTCACTGTCCTGCTGGCTAGCTTGTTTGTCACAGGATATCAACAGCACTTCTTGCATCACAGGCAGATACCACAATAATCAGAGGAAGAGACATCTGTTCTTTTCTTGTTTTCTGTTTGTTTGTTTGTTTTCTTGTTTTTTGTTTGTTTAGAAGAAACAAACCTTTTCTAAGAAATTCTCAGCAGCAGACCACCTCTTAGAGGACATTGATTAATGCTGTGTCACATGCCTCTGCTGCAGGGGACAGGGACTTGGAGATTGGCTTACGTAGACTAAGACTTGCTCTTTGGGCCTGGGGATGGGCTCCACCTCGAGAAAGCTCAGGGCCATGTGAGGGAGGCAGGTAGATTCCCAAACACAATTGGGATTCCATTAACAAGGAGGAAATAAATTTGGGGTGGATGACCAATAGTGTCTGCCACATTGACTACAAATGTGAATATGAGTTAGCAGGAGAAAAGAAGGGTGTACTTCTGGGGAGGTGGGAGAGCATTCAACAATAGTCAAGGAATGTGAAGTCTTTTGTACCTGGTATCAGGGGCAAAAGGAAGAGATGTGGGATATTAAAGCAAGAGATCCAGGCATGGTGGCTCATACCTGTAATCCCAGCACTTTGGGAGGCTGAGGTGGGAGAATCTCTTGAGGTCAGAAGTTGGAAACTAGCTTGGGCAACATAGCAAGACCCCATCTCTACAAATTAAAAAAAAAAATTAGCTGGTTGTCATGGTGTGTGCCTGTAGTCCTGGCTACTCTGGAGGCTGAGGTGAGAGGATTGCTTGAACCCAGGAGTTCAGGACCAGCCTGGACAATGTAGTGAGACCTCAACTTTACAAAAATTTAAAAATTAGCCAGACATGGTGGTGCATGCCTGTAATCACAACACTTGGGGAGGCTGAGGTGGAAGGATTGCTTAAGCCCAGGAGATCAGTGTTGCAGTGAGCTGTGATTGTGCCACTGAACTCTAGTCTGGGTGACACAGCAAGACTCTGTCTCAAAAAAAAAAAAAAAAGAGGTAGGCTGACCAAACATGTGGTATCTTGTTGACTTTGCTAAATGATTTTTGTTACAGGAAAGAGAAAAACACTGAATTAGAATAGAGTGCAGTCATTATTCATTTGCTCTGGCTTTGAGCTTTAACACATCTATGTGTCTTTTTGTTGTTTTCCTTTGTGATCTTTGAGATCTCCAAGTCCGTATATTCTTCTTTCCTTGTGTTCTTATAAAAACATCTCTGACTTCAGTACCCCATTTTAGTGTTATGATTCTGTCAAAGAAAAAAGAAATTAAACTCCATTAAACTCCATTTCTTTCATAGGACAGAAGTTAATTGCATCTCTCATACCCATGACATCCAGAGACAGAATTAAAGCCATCAGGAACCAGCCAAGGACCATGGAAGAGAAAAGGAACCTTAGGTATGGACCAAAGGCTTTTCTTCTTTCCCAGATTTCACATGAACCTCAGTCTTCTACTTTTGCCCCATCTCAAAAAGATAAGAAATAATTAAGTGCAATAGAAAAGACAAATCCTCCTGAAAGGAAAATTTCAAATACCCTATGTAGGTACTCCTTTCTCCAGGAGCTACAGCTTAATTCCTCCTCCTGGGCTGGAGTATGGGCTCTGCTTGGTGAGCTACTTCCAAAGAGTAGGGCATGGAAGAAAGAAAGTGGAGTAACTTTCCAGGGGAGAGTCTGCCTAATACTCCCTTGGCCAAGACTCAAGGTTAACATATCCAAAGATAAGTCATGTGATGGGAAAAACACGTCTCCTCTGGCCACTCTGTCCTAAAACCCACAACCCCAGTCTAAACAGCAAAAAACATTAGGGAAATCCCAACTGAAGAACATTCTACAAAATGCTCGACCAGTACCCCTTGAAACTGTCAAAGTTGCTGGGCGCAGTGGCTCACACCTGTAATCCCAGCACTTTGGGAAGCTGAGGCAGGTGCATCATAAGGTCAGGAGATCAAGACCATCTGGCTAAGTGAAACCCGGTCTCTACTGAAAATACAAAAAAATTAGCTGGCCATGGTGGCATGCGCCTGTAGTTCCAGCTACTCAGAAGGCTGAGGGAGAAGACTCGCTTGAACCCAGAAGGCGGAGGTTGCAATGAGCTGAGATTGCACCATTGCACTCCAGCCTGGGCGGCAGAGCAAGACTCCATCTCAAAAACAAAACAAAAAGAAAAAACTGTCAAAGTTCATCAAAAACAGGGAAAGTCTGAGAAACTGTCATAGACTAGAAAGTTCTAAAGAGACATGACAGGCCAGTGTGGTGGCTCAGGCCTGTAATCCCAGCACTTTGGGAGGCCAAGGTGGTGGGATTAGTTGAGCCCTGGAGTTTTAAGACCAGCTTGGACATCACAGTGAGACCCCATCTTTTAAAAAAATGAAAATTAAAAAAGAGAGACATGACAAATACATGCAATATGGTATCCTGGATGAAATCCTGGAATAGAAAATGGACACTGGTGGAAAAACTAGTAAAATCTGTATAGTCTGGAGTTTAGGTAATAGAAATATATCAATACTGGTATCTTAGTTTTGACAAACCTACCATGGAAATGTAAAATATTAACAGGGGAAACTGGTGAATGTATATGGAAACTTTCTGTACTGTCTTTGCAACTTTACTGTAAATCTCAAACTACGCTAAATAGAAAGTTTACTTAAAAAATAAAGACCAACCAGGTGCAGTGACTCACGCCTGTAATCCCAGCACTTTGGGAGGCTGAAGTGGATGGATCACAGGTCAGGAGTTTGAGACCAGCCTGGCCAACATGGTGAAACACTATCTCTACTAAAAATACAAAAATTACCTGGGCATGGGGGCATGGTGGCATGCACCTGTAATCGCAGCTACTCAGGAGGCTGAGACAGGAGAATTGCTTGAACCTGGGAGGTGGAGGTTTCAGTGAGCCAAGATTGTGCCACTGTACTTCAGCTTGGGTGACAGAGCAAGACTCCATCTTGAAAAAAAAAAAAGAAAAAAAAAATAAAGAACTTAGGAGTTTTATAAGCTCAGGAACTCAAAACCCGATGGTAAGGGCTGTTTTAGCCTTTAAAGTTTACATTAATTGTTGCTTAATTTTTTTTTTTTTTTCAATTTGAGTTAGCTGGCAGAAGCTAGTAGAGTGGAAACAACAGTAATTAGCAGGAAATGATTCAAGGATGCAGGATTTTCTGAGGTTTCAAAGATAAATTTCAAAACCTGGCAGCAGGGAATAGATTTGTCAACAAGTACATTACAAATGGCAGAAAGCAGATCAGGCCAAGTCAAAATAGAAAGAGATTTCAATGTGAGGACCAGAAAGGCCTGCCCTCCCTAACTTTTCTGGTGAAAAATGGACAGAGGGGGCATTTGAGCCGGGCCTTGAAAGGCAATAGACAGTGACATTGGGGTGGGCCTTCAAGGTGGACCAAAGAAAGCAGGGAGAGAACCAGAACAGAGCAGACGTGATGAGTTCATCGAAGGGTAAGGAGACCAATTGTGACTATGTCTTTCTGAAAACACCCTTCCATTTCAAACTCTTCATGGCTCCCTCTGTCACTGAATAAGTGTCCCAAAGACCTTATAGTAGGATATCTCAGTCTCAGTACAAGTAATATCTTAGGGCTGGATCTGTCTTTGTCGTGGGAGCTGTTTTGTTCATCGTAGGATGTGCAGCAGCGTCTCTGATCTCTGTGTAGTTGATGCCAGTTGCTCCCCTTCTCCACTCTTTAGTGGAGTTCCACAACCAAAAAAGTTTCCAGACATTGCCAATGTGTGGGGGCAAAATCACCCTGGGCTGAGAACCTGTATTAGTCTGTTCTCATGCTCCTAATAATGACATCCCTGAGACTGAGTAATTTATAAAGGAAAGAGGTTTAATGGACTCAGTTCCACACAGCAGGGGAAGCCTCACGATAATGACGGAAGAAGAAGGAAGAGCAGAGGTACGTCTTACATGGCAGTGGGCAAGACAGCATGTGCAGGGGAACTGCCGTTTATAAAACCATCAGACCATTTATCCACTTTATTATTATTTTTATCGCTTACTATCTTTTGCTTTCAACTAGGATGTCAGCTCCATAAACCAAAGAAATTGTTGTCTTAATAGCTGGGATGGTGCCCAACACATCATAGGAACTCAGTTTTTTTTTTTTTTTTTAAAGAAATGTGGTCTCAGCTGGGCATGGTGGCTCATGCCTATTATCCCAGGCTCAAGGCCGAGGCAGATGGATCACTTGAGGCCAGGAGTTCGAGACCAGACTGGCCAACATGGTGAAACCCTGTCTCTACTAAAAAGACAAAAGTTTTCCAGGTGTGGTTGTGTGCAACTGTAATCCCAGCTACTCAGGAGGCTGAGGCAGAGAATCACTTGAAGCTGGGAGGCAGAGGCTACAGTGAGCCGCAGTTGTGCCACTGCACTCCACCCTGGGCGATAGAGCGAGACTTCATCTCAAAAAAAAAAAAAAAAAAAAAAAATGAGGTCTCGTTCTGTTGCCCAGGCTGCTGGACTACAATGGTGTGATCATAGCTCACTGCAGTCTCAAAGCTTTTGGGCCCAAGTGACCCTCCCACCACAGCCTCTAGAGTAGCTGGGACTATGTAGCCAGACACCACCACACCCAGCTTTTTGTTTTTTTTTTAAATAGAGACAAGGTTCCACTATGTTGTTCAGGCTGGTCTTGAACTCCTGGCCTCAGTGATCCTATTGCCTCAGCCTTCCAAAGTGTTGGGATTACAGGCATGAGCCACCATGTAACTATTTTTTGAATGAATGAGTTGCAACGTTTGTATCTTTCACTTTCTCTTGCTATTCCCTACAGGAAAATAGTTGACAAAGAAAAAAGCAAACAGTCCCATCATATCCTTCAGTTTAATTGCTGTGTTCAGTGTCTGCACTCCATTTCACAGGTAAGTCAGTAAAATGGGCACAGCAAGAGGGTGAAAACAGGGAGGGAGGGAATGAGGATGAAAGGGAGCTCAAGGTGAAGACCAAAAATCAGAGATATTTCATTGCCCGAAGCCATCAGGTTGGTTAAAGTGTGGGAAAATGAGGTCGCATGGGGAAGAACTAAGAGGTTGCTGAGTTCATTGGCCATCTTGGCCATTGGGAGTGGCACCTTCAACAGCAAACCTGGGAAGGTCATGATAGCTCCACCTTAGAGTTGAGATAACATTTGTAAACATGCCTAGCATGTTGCCTGCACTTAACAATACTCCAGACATGGTGGCCATTTCTGTTATTATGGCACCTGCTCGGTCAATATCTGTTAAGCGAACAGCAACCCACCTGCTTCGAATCCTGGCTTCAGACTTATCGGAGATCCAAGAGCAGCCTGTCAGAAATTCTCAGTTCCATCAGCCTGTGGCAGAAGACGCTGAAAATCATCGGAGGCAAGTTTGGAACCAGCATTCTCTCCTATTTCAACTTTCTGAGATGGCTTTTGAAATTCAACATTTTCTCATTCATCTTGAACTTCAGCTTCATCGTAATCCCTCAGTTTACCATGGCCGAAAAGAACACCCTCCAGTTCACTGGGTTGGAGTTTTTCACTGGGGTGGTAAGTTCTCTGTTTTCCCTACCTCAAGTGCACCAACTACTTTAGAAACCCAGGGACATGACTTGCCAGTCAACCACTCACACCTCTCATTTTATCTGGGGGTCAATGATGGGGAAAGCGGATGTTTAAAATGTTTTCTGACTGGGCGACTGGATGATGACACGTGCCTGTAATTCCAGCACATTGGGAGGCCAAAGCAGGTGAATCACTTGAGCTCAGGAGTTCGGGACCAGCCTGAGCAACATGGCAAAACTCCATCTCTACAAAAATACAAAAATTAGCAGGGCATGGTAGTGCATACCTGTCATTCTGGCTACCTGGGAGGCTAAAGTGGAGGGATTGCTTGAGCCCAGGAGACGGAGGTTGCAGTGAGGCAAGACTGCCCCACCGCACTCCAGCCTGGGCAACAGAGCGAGGCAGTCAATCAATCAATCAATCAAGTGTTTTCCTGCAAAGTAACACACACACATCATAGTGGAATTTCTGTCTCCAGAAGCAACCACCTTGCACAGTTTTTTTTTTTAATCCACACTCTTTCTTTGCAAGCATATGGACACTTCTGTGCATGTACAGAGGCATCCTTTTCTTTTCTTACAAAAGATGAGTTATCTGTTGTATGTTATCTACAACTTGCTTTTTTCTTTTTTCTTTTTTTTGGTTAGGAATATGCAGTGGGCATCCTGTTGGTATTTATAGATCTATGTTTTCTTTCTTTTTTGTTTTTATTGCTATAAAATACAATGTTCCTTTTGAAAAATTCCTACTATAGAAGAGAACTAAGAGAAAGTTCATTTTAAATTTTTTTCTTTGTCCAACTCCCCAATTTGAAATGTCTTTGTAGACTGTTTTTTTCTTCCTGTACCAACATTGATAGATATATACTTGATTTAAAAAATAAAATAAACAGATGACAGACACATAGATTACTATGCTTTTAAAAATAAAGAGGATAGGATTGCACTACAAACCTTTTCTTTCTCTGTCTCTCCTTCCTTCCCCTCTCCCTCCCTCCCTCTCTTCCTTTCTCCCTTTCTCCCTTTCTTTCTCTTTCTTTTCTTTCTTCCCTCCCTTCCTTCCTTCCTTCCTTCCTCTTTCCTTCCTTCTTTTCTCTCTTTCTCCCTTTCTCTCTTTCCTTCCTTCCCTCCCTCCCTTCCTCTCTTTCTTTTTTTTTTCGAGACGGAGTTTCGCTCTTGTTACCCAGGCTGGAGTGCAATGGCGCGATCTCGGCTCACCGCAACCTCCGCCTCCCGGGTTCAGGCA